ACTGTTGTTTCGTTTGAAACCATAATGTTGAATTTTAAACAATTGTCCTAAAATTATTAATTATTTTATTGAGCACTGAGCTATGATATTCGAACAATATTTTACCTCCTATATTGCTTTTAATATGTAATGCGTAATGAAATTATCAAAATGGACTGTTTTTCATTAGAATTTTTCTTTTAAAATAGAAATACGCTAATTGTATACAAACTAATTAATCAGTCTATTCAATAAACCTTTCTAATGAAATTAGAAAAGCTTTCATGTCCACATTTCTGAAGAATCAGGTGGGTTAAATTGTTAAAAAAGTAATTTGAAAATAGATAAACATTTAATAATGTGTATTTAATTATTTTTACTTTTATCAAAATAGTGCTTTCTGATGAAACAATATGGTGTCACACAATGTAAGTTTATTAGAAAATTGCAGACTTTACAAAAAGATATATGAACTTAAAGTTTATTTTATTATATTATTTAGTCGCCAAAAAATTACAGTTCGTTAGACGCGGGTCAGTAAATTATGTAAAAAGCCAATTTAGATGATGCAGACTTTATGCACTTAATGTTCGTTTTATTTATAAAATATTTTAATGCCTTTAATTTTAGACGGCAAAAAAATTAGAACTCAGTCATGAATATGCAAAATGAAATTTTAGACGGTGTGGTGTAGACGGGAAAATGAGTTATAAGTTAGTAGCAAGACGATGCAATGCTTCAGCAATTACCATGAAAAACCGATTGTCAAAACTCAAAGATTTTGAGGGCCAAAGGACATCCGCGGTTTTACCCATACCAAGGAGCAAAATTGTAAATGTTCAATATCTTTGTTCATTATTCCTAATTTCCGTTCTGTCAGTATTGCCATCAACTCAATAGAAAGATTCAGTATAAAAATAAACTACAGTTTTAATATATTTCCAGTTTTTCTGTTTGAGACTGTCAAAAAAAATTAATAGTGATTTTAACTTAAAGTTTGTAACTGCTGATTGTTACTGAGCAATGAAAAAATAATTTTCTTGCTAATATCCGCAATTTTAGATGCAAGGTCTGGTTAGTTTGTGATGCGTAGGTATAAGTTACCTCTAGATCAGCTATTATATTAACAAGGTTTTCGGTTTTGAATCTAAACATTACACATTGTTAATAGACTCTTTTAGTGTGACATGACATATTTAGGCAACCCGCAACAAATTGTCATAGTTGAAATTGTGCAGACCGAATCGGACCCATATGTACTATTTACATAGTACACAACTTCAAATTAATTTATTTTTACAAGGATTTAGAAGTATTTAAGTATAACCAATAAGTGTTTCCTAAAATAGATACACTAATGTGTTTAAAACTTAAAAAAAAAGATATAAAAGAATATTCCTAAATTTAAATAAAGTAAAAATTTAACATTAGCCATGTTATTCCTAATGCGCATGCTCGGAAAGAATAGCGTCATACACAGGTGAGATGTTGTTGATGTATCATCGCTGTCATCACTAGCGTATTTAATCTTTGCATTTTCTAGTTTTATTAAGTATTTTTATTGTTTTTCTTGGTACTGCACTGTGTCAGTGTGTTTATCGAGTGTTTATTTCTTCAATTGGTTTGTTATAGATGTACTCTGAACCATAACCTTTCGTGAATGATATCCTGTTGCGAGGCTACTTGGCTTACATGAAATTATCTTTAATGCGGACGTTTAGTAATATTGATATAATTTTAATTTATTACCTAATTACTATAAAAGTCTATATTGTTCTATAAATTTAAATATATAAATTCCTTAATTCTTTTAGTCACTTGGGATATGAATCTTCTTAAATTTTCTAATATTGCCAGAATATCGCGATATTTCAGGTAATGACAAAGAAGACATTTTTTTGCCACTAGTAAAAATACTGAGAAATTCTTCATGGCAATGTGTACTATGGACTATGGGGTTGCGTATTATTTGGCGCATGTGATGTCACTACTAAAGAGGCCCATAACTGACAAAATATTTTTGATTTAAAATTTTTTTTATAGCGCAATAGGTCATGAAATTAAAAAGAAGAAATACAAAATACGGATGATTAAGTAGATTTCACGGAGACAGAGCTATTCTAAAATTACCTATTATTATTTTTTTCTCCTAGTATTCCTCTTAAAAGAGACACTGGACTCCAAATAAGTACCTAGAAATTTTGTACGTTTTGGGTTCTAACTTTGACACCACATATATAGGGTCTAAAGGATCTGTACAACGCTCTACCATAGTACGGCTCAAAATAAGTTGAGTTAACTAAACTTTCCTTAATTTAAAAATTAATAATAACGGAGCTACAAGGTATCAAAGTTGAAAAAATAAATAATATTTTTTTTAATATTTTCCGACTACTAATTTCGTGAAATTTCGTGTTCGGTTTTTTTTTTGGGATGAGAAATTCGAATTTATCGACGATTTCATTGTATCTTCTAGCTAGAGAACGCCACAAGCGCCCATTAGGACGCATTTAAACTGCCAACGTTTTTTGTGCCACGGTGTATTTCATTTTGGGCTGAAAAAATCTTTTCTGCTCAAAAAACGTCTACTTTACTAATATCTCTAAAGTCAACCATTTTAAAAATGCCTTATGTTGCTAAAATATTATAAAATACATGCTTTTCAAGATAAATCAGTTTTTAATACGGGCAGCAACTAGTTTATTTTTTTATAAAATGTTTCATATTTATGTTTTGTTATGTTTAGGTACGTTTTGTAATTTTGCAAGTCCAAAAACTCTTAAAAGAGTTGGTAGCTTAAGATGTACAAGTTAAAGATTGAAAATGAACATTTACATAATAATAACACAAGAAAATGGTAAATATTACTTCGACAAATGTTCAAAATTAACTTGCTGTACACTTTTTTACTCGACGAATATTTTCCCAGTTCACATCAAATAATATTCTAGAATTCTTAAAATTAATTTTATTACTTCTATCCAGATTAAGTTCTTCTATAGTATTGTTAGGTGTTAAATAAATGGATGACCCTACAGAAAAAGTCTAATGGATTAAGGTTGGCGACCCATGTGACCATAAAACTATAAAAATTTGATAAGTACTGATTATCTTCAAAATGAAACAGAGCACAATCGTGCATGTGCTCATTTTGAACACCTAAATATAATATGTTTATTTTTAATCTCTAACTTGTTTTTCTTAAGCTATTTTTAAAGTTTTTTTTAAAATAAAATAAATACATGAAACAAACTGTAAAAGATTAAAACAAAACAAGAATAAGTTAAAGTAAGTTAAAAAAATAATTTAAAAGAAAGGAAATTATCAAAATACATTTTAAATATGGGCACCTTCCACCTCCACATGCTTTCTAAGTTTACGAAATTAATTCTTTGTACTCTCCCAATCCATTTATTAAAAACAATACATAAGTAATTTCGTACATCAATATTGAAATGGGGAGGAGCCCCATCATGCATGAATCAAACGTTTCTTCGGTTTTTTAGTGAATCGTCTAATAGCGCCTACAAATGATTTAGAAAAAAATTTAAATATCGATGAGTCTGGCTTCACAAGAAATGGCATTCTTAATTTCCATAACTTGCATTTATGATATGAAGAGAATCCGCCACGGTACTGTGCTAACAAAAGACCAACACCGAGTCATAATTAATGTATGGGGAGGAACAGTCAGTAATAATTTAATAGGTCCATGCGTTTTTGAGGAACTTGTGAATGGACATCGATATTTGGAGCTAAATACTTAAGTTACTTTAACTTATTGTTGTTTTGTTTTTCTATTTTGTGTTATGTGTAAAGTGTGTTTGTCAAACTTTGTTAGTGAAAATTACATTGACAGTAAGATTTTCTAGACTTTTATTTTAAAAATATGTGCGGTTCTATCGTGGTAATTATGTCCATTTAAAAATTAAAAACAAAAAATGGTGGAGGCGCCGATCGATGTGCACTGTGACATAAAATCACAAATATTTCCTAAACTGTTAATTTTACCGAGTTGAACCAAGAGGGTATTTTCGTTGGTAAATTCTTCAATTTCCATGCAGGCAGATTGCGATAGCCATCTATGCAAAAATTCTGGGAAAACTTCAGAAACAAACTATACGCATGTGTTATCGATCACCAAATTTGCATCATACTTAAGTTAATAGTTTAGAGACTAAATAAAAATAACTTTTTAATTTTCACCTTTGAGGACCCGTAACTTGTTAATGAAGGCTCGTAGAAAAAAAAATTATATGAAAAACTGATATTATTTTGACCTCATCTATTTGCACTCGACATTTTTGTATTAGTATTGGGACACTCTGTATACTTACTTGTTCTAACATGGTTTCGATGTTATCAAGTTAACATCTGTAACATTTTGTATAAAATGGTGAAGGCACAATATTGCTATATATTAGGGCTATGTACTGAAGAACTGTAATGCAAAATCTCTCTTGCATTTTCTTTCTAAAAATTAATAATTAAATTCATTAACAAGTAAATAAATAATATACTTATATTATTTTGGAGTTTGGATTTACAGTTGCACCTAAATATTCCACATAAAGTATTTATAGATTAAAACATTAAATTCCCGAATAGTTTTTCAAAGAACTATTTAAATAGTCCATTCTAAGAACTGCGAATAAAAATACAATAAAACCACATTTTCAGTTTTAAATAAACTTACGAGTATATTTGTTTGAATGATCGTTTGGTGATTGAGGTCTAGCGACGAAAGAAAATCTATCAGTCGAATTATGAGTTTATTTAATAACACAGTGTCAATACCGATAAACCCACGCATTTATTTTATGATATTCATACATACACTTATCCTCAACACGAACCTCATTGACGGATTGTCTTCATGGGTTAATAAAGAACCGTAAAGATAATAAAAACGAGATAAAAATCATACGTGGTAGTGGGCAAATCTGTGATAGGAGGGGTTGAATCATCCCCTATAAAAGCCAAACCTATACATGGGGTGTGCAGAGTTGAAGTGAAGACACTGTTGCGCCTGCAACTTTCCCTAACATAGACGCAACAAGTAAAAGGTCCGTTCAGTAAACGTTTTCCGTTTGATTTTATTGTCAGTGTGCCAGTATGTGCTACAAGCTGCCATCCCGCAAGGGAGCTGTGTCTCCAGTAACAGTTAATTTAGTTAAAATCACAGTTGTTTTGGTATTCTTTTGTTTCGCCGAGTGTGCTGCTGGTGAGTTCAATGCTGCGATTTTGCTCTTAAATATTCACGAAAATACTTATATTTTCCCTTATATTTTAATTTTTTCAATAAATTATTATAGAACCTTATCAGTTTCACTAAGTAAAAATGTAAAGCTTGCTATATATAATCTAAAAACAGGTTTCAAAATGAATAACTTTATGATTTGTTGAATATTTTATATAACATTTTCGTTAGTTTTTCATACACTTGTTACAGCGTAGACCGCTCTTTTCTCTCATAAAAAATACTTGATTTAATTTTGACTTTAATAAATATTTTAAATTTGCAAAATTTATCAAGGAATACTATTAAATTTATTAGATAAGAATGTATCACTTACTGAAAATATGTAATTTAGCAACATATTCAACAATAAATAGCAGCCTCACATCTTGCTGAAAATATTATAAAACGCCTTGTTCCTATTTTGTCATATATCTCCCAGAATAGTAGTAGTAGTAGTACTTTTTCTGCAGTTCCTAACTTTTGGGAATTGAGAACATTTATTCCTTTATTTCATGTGACAATATAACGTGACATTTATATGTTGTATTCAAATTTTATTTTTCAAAGCTATAAAAATAAATCTGCATGCAAACATTTCATATGACATGACATCCAAAAAAGTAGGTAATTGTTCAGCAATTTTACATAGAAATTTTTAAATAGATCCACTTTTGTTTTGTCTTTTATTTATTTTTTTTTTTTTGAGAAAAATGATTAATAAATTATTTTAAATCGTACAAACCCATAAAACTAGGAATATGTAAAATACTAAATTTTATACACATATGTAGTTAAAGATTGTGAGTATATAAAATAATTTTGAAAGTCTAAATTGTATATTTTACTACCGATATTTTTAATGATTTTAGTGGTAAGATTGCTACCAATGTATAAGAAATATATATCAACTTGAATCAAATATAATTTATTTACATACGTTATGAGTATATAGAAATTTTGAGTAAAAAGAATCTTATCCTCTTATCTTAGAATAAAAAGAATCCTTTAGTAAAATGAGGAAATACTATTTAATTCTAGTTTATAATACATACTTATTATATTCACAAATATATGCTTGTTTTAATAAAAATAATATTTTTGGCTGTTTAAAAAAGTTGTTTTTCTCGATTTTCACCTACATGTAAAATAAAATATGATAAAACTTAATTACTATTTATTATAATATATATTGTTATTTAAATAATTTCAAAACTAAGAAAAACATTGTTTTTATTTATGGAATCCAGTTTACTAATAATTATTTACTAGTTTTAGGATTTACATATGTAATTTTAGCTTTTTAATGCATATAACTATTGTGTTTAACGTTACATGTCCAAATTTAATATATTATATCTATTCATAAAGTGCTCGTTATTTGAGAAACAGGGGATCTAAGTTTGAAAAAAAATGTATCAGCTGCTTCATTAAGTTACAAAAATCTTTATGAGACGTATCGGAATATGTACTGAGGCGTAGGCGCCATTTTAAAGGCATTTTGTAAAATATTTTAAATAAGTTCTACAATTTCATGTTCAAACGCATCGTCTTTATAAATTGCTAATTTGTACCAAGACGGTAAAAGATCAAAAAATTTGCCTCTCAAAAGCGATACTATTTTTTCCAATAGTGTACAATAATTTTCGAGGAAATTTTAAGCAGCATATGTCATATTTACCCCCCTGGTTTAAACTGAGATTTTTTTTCATATTGAATACCAATTTATTCATGAATATATAAACAAAATTTCGTTTCAATACTCATATTCGTTTATTCAGAAGATATTTAGAGATAAGTATAACATTCCAAACGTCTTGTACCTGAAAAAGCAAAAGTCCAAGGTAAATAATAATTTACTACTCGTTGTGATATACCCTGTAGACTGAATAAAAAAAAACAAATAGATATTTTAATACTTTTGACGTTATGAAAAATGCTATTAATATTGCTAAGATAAATGATAAATAAGTATATATAAGGGGGCGTTTAAATATCTTTTCACTGTACCAGTTATATAAGTTTTTTTCAGGGTATAAGACTAACAATACTTTCAAAATTAGGGAAAAAAACTTTTAATTCGTATGTTTGCCTTACGTTTTCTAAATTTTGCACACTTGTTAAACATGCATAAAATCGCATATGGTACCATAAACATAGTCACACCCTGCAGAATGCTTTTAGAAAACTATTGACACATGCATTAATCACAATTATTGAGTATCTTTGCAAATTTGCTGAACAAAACAGGAAAGGTACATTTTCTGATATTTACCTATTCTCCTTGATCTTTCAATGCGAAAAATTAAAGGAAGTTGCTCTAGTTTAGTGTTACGCTTCGTTACTTCCTGGATGGATGTAATTGTTCTATCATGCATTGTTTTAATAAGAGTGCGATTTCTTATCTATAAAACGTCAGCCTTAAGTAAAACTAACTATTTTATTATAAAATTTGCTTTTTTAACATACAACTAAAACTTTTCATAAATTCTTTGGAAGCTTAGTTGTTTCAAAAAATCCTCCTCTTGGTAATTCTCCAATAACGATACCACATGAACAAATTTAACATTTCACTTATTTTAAACAATATCAAATTCAGGACCAGCCTTTGAATCTTAAAAATGCTCTGGTATGAATTCCCAGGAACATAACTTTTTATGGATATTTCCTAATAATTCTAAAATAGCTAATTTTACCATCCGCTGGATCTAAAATTTCGCAATAAATTTGCTCTAACTTAGTCAGCTTCATAGCAAACAGGTTATGTTAAACAGTTTTACAATAGTATCTACCTACAGCTTACATTACTTATTATTGTTTCGAAAAAATGGATCAATGAAAACGTTCTGAAAGAATCTCTCGATCGCACTTTTACTGAATAAAGGAATACTCGAAACTTCATTAGAAACTTTATTCTTGAACTGTATAAAAAGATGAAATTTGACAACTTTTGGGGTAGGTGGTGATAAAATGGTCAAATAATATATTATACATGCGAGTGAAGTTTATACGATTATTTGTTTATTTATTTATTGATCAACTTTTTCTTAATATAGAAACTTCACAACTAAAGCAACATAAAAATTTAAGGCGAATAATTCCTTTCAGAACCTGTTACGGGATAAGAATGCTCTAGAAAGCTTACAAATAGCTCGTGCATTATTTATTTCCTTTTTGTAACGAAACTTTGCAGAACAATAGTAATCTTTTATTATTTAGGATACCGCATGACTAAATTACCTTTGAACTTAAAGCAATAAGTACAAATAATTTGGATTCTTAAATACACTCTCATACCAAAATATACATGTAGGTACAATAACATTTTTTGGTAAAACGTGTCGAAGTAGCTGGTGCATTTAAGTTTTTAATTGCAATGACTCGCTCTCCGCGCGTCAAAGAGATATGTGTAATTAAGGACATAATAATGTCACTAGAGTTGTATAAGCTCAGAAATTTGATTTAAACTTCAAATGTAATTAGCTGTTTGGTGCAGTGTTATGTAATACATATTGAAAATTTTAAAACTTGTCAAAAAAGTTGTTTAAATGCTTACATAATTTATTACGTTTTGAACGTTATGGATAGAGAGTGGAAAATTTTCTGTAACTTAGTAATATTCAGAAAATAAACGAAATAATACGTTTGCACTACAATAGATTTACTTACAGAACTTGCATTTAGCCATCTATTTTTATAAAAGAAAGTGTTAAAAATTAAAGCCGGAAAATATACCAAATTAATCTTGATTTCTTCTACAGGAAACTATAAAACTAAGAATCACACACTTTTCCATCATATCTTCCCGCCTAGTGATAAAATATAACCGTAAATACCGGAAACTGTTTTACTAATACTTCTTAGAAAATGCGTAATATATTTTGGTAAAAGAAATATAAAACCTGCCTGCTTACGACAAACATCCATTTTTTCTTTTAATACTTAATTGAGAAAATAATTTGCGTTGTCGCTCAGTCCTTTATTTTTTCTCATTTTTCGCATGGAGCTTTACATTAGAATTATTCACTGTTAGCAAAATTTCTTTGTAATGTAATTGTCACAGAAGGATTTTAAAATGATCATTATTCTGTTGTTTTTTTTTGTATTAATTCCTTTGTTATTTCATCCATAAAAGCATTTCTCACGAAAGTATTAATTCTATAAAATTTAATGGTTTATCAAAATAAACTGTCCATGCATAAAACAAAAGACGGAAAATGGAACCAACTGATAAAAAATATCTTCTTTGATGTTAATTGTATTGAAAGGGTGCTACCTTTTTATAAACTTAATTTAAATAGAGAAAAAAATAGAGACGATTCAATTAAAAGTATCAAATACGTTGTAGTAATAATTTTGTTATAGAGAACTTTAACAAAGGAAAATTTAAAATTTTATACAAAATTTGGCGACTGATAATAAAGTACATCTATATGTTTAAAAACTTCGACCTTTCAAATTACTGAATTCAAATGATTCAGACTTACAATGACTCACTAACAATAAGTATTAAGTACTTCTAAACATATTCAAAGTAACACATAGAAGGTGTAATGCCTATACTACCTACTTGCTCCCAAAAATAAAAATTATTTCTATCAACGCCCACCCACTCTTTATAGGGCTGCAAGTTACAGTGAACAAGTAGATATTTGAAAACTGTGCTGCCAAAGTTTTCCAAGTTTCCTCTAAATTTTCACCGAGAAAATATTTTGTTTTTGTAATAGTCCTTAGAGGAAAAACTCCAACATTATTAAATCCTAGATGATGACCCGATTGGATCATTTGGTCCTATTCACTTACTGACAAATTTCTTATTGAAAGCATTTTACTATCTACGTTAACTTAGCTCCCCTACAATATCGATTAGCACATAGCGCATTCAGAATCTAGCAGAATAAAAAATATATTTTAGTACTTACAATCATATCCTCATGTTACTAAGATAAACATTTTTGTAAAGCATATAATGAAATACAAGGCAT